ACCCCTAAACCCTGAAACCCTAAAGGGCTGGTCCCCTCCTTGAAAAGCCGCAGGACTGAGATCCCTTCTTTTCAGAGGAGCAGCGGTCTGAGCTCTGCTTTTTGGGTTGTGGGGTTTAGGTTTTAGGTCAAGGTTTTAGGTTTAGGTTTAGGGTTTAGGGTTTAGGGGTTTAGGGTTTAAGGTTTAGGGTTGGGTTTAGGGCGTAGTTTTAGGCTCTGGGTCTCATGTCCGGCTGGAAGGTCACAGCTGCTGACGCAAAGTATGGCGCTGAAAGCTAAGTTCTTGCAGTTATGGACGTTAGTTTAAGTTACATCATGGGGATCTGTAGTAGTAAGTAACACGGTTTCCTTGTTGCGGCGACTTACATAAACGAACAAGAGACCAGAAAACCCAACGCGCTAAACCGTAGAGAAGCAGAAAGGGCAAGCACAAACCATTCAAAATTTACTCCTCAGGATGCAAAGGACCCATTACTTAGGTAATTGGTTGGGTTCCGGATAGTAGCTATGCAGGTTAGTATGCGGGAGAAAAATATATATGTTGTTTTTTCGTACTTGCACCCTTAGGGTAGGGTATGTTCCCACCTGTCTGCATCAGGCCTTGCGCAATACAAGGCCCTTGAGAACAAGAGCGAATAGTGCTGAGGAATGTTCTAGTACATGTAACCATAGAGGGACTACCTGCTCCGTATTTCCAACTCCTACTCAGATCCTGCACAGTAATAAAAACCCGTTATTCTGAACCCTAAAGCTTTATATTATAAATTATACACCCTTTATTCAATGCCCCAGAACCTAAAACCTTGAAGCCTGTATCCTGAATGCTAAACCCTGGACGCCAGGCAGGGCTGCCGACCTCGGCCCAGCTGCCACTTGTAACGGCACACTCTGCCTGCTTAGGGTGTCGCTTGTAGGACCTATAGGGCTTGTTGTTTCAGTTCCAGGGCTACGGGTTTAGGGTTTAGGGTTTAGTGTTGAGGGTTTAGGGTTTAGGGCTTAGGGTTTAGGGCTATGATGGCGGCGGTGTGACTGCTTATTGCCAGGATAATGGCGATGGCTCAGGAAGAGGGCGGCAATCGATGGTGACAAGGAGCCGCAAAAGTGGCCATGATATCATGAAACAGCTTGCTACTGCTACGGCAAAGGTCACCACTGCCCCTGTAACTGCTGAAATGAAAAAATCACGATGAGTTTGCATTCTGCCAGTACTGCCGGTGCTGTTATTATTACTCTCGCTGTTGCTCTCGCCAGTACTACTATGAAGCATAAGAGCCAAGTACCTCCTAACGTCCTATATTAGCAGGACAACTCGCCCACAATCGAGTAATGTAGGGACCTTTATAATTAGAATAGGGTTTTGGGGGTATATTCTACTATACTGACAACAAGGAACCACCAAAATAGTATAGGTAATTATTGAGGCCACTATATTAAGATAGACCCAGTCTTCAAGCCTCTTCAGTTCCCAAACCCAGGTTGCTCCTTCAAAATTCTCTGAACCCTTACTCGCAAGTAAGATCTCTTAGACCAAATAGGGGGACTTGTGAAATGTCCTCAAAATCCAATAACGCTGAACCCTGAGCCCAAAAAACCCTAAACTCCTAGACCCTAGGCAGAATGAGGGGCACGGATTTAGGGGCTCAAGCCCCCCGGAGAAGACGCCAATGTGCAAGGCCAGTATGGAGAAAAAAACCGCAAACCGCCTTAAAGACGAGTTGACCCCTAAAAGGGCTTAGGGTTCATATACCATATAGGGATTCATAGTATTAGGGTATAGG